GCGGGCGGGCGGCGCGGCCCCTCCCGGGAGGCGGGCACGGAGGGCGGGCAGGCAGCGGAGGCCGGAGCGGCGCCGAGCGCGCGGAGGGAGGAGGCCGAGGGCGGAGCGGAGCGCGCGGGCGCGGCAAGCGCGGCGGCCCGGCGGCCGAGCGACCCCGGGAGCGGCGGCGTCCTCTGCCCGCCCCGCCCCGTGCCTCCTCCCCGGCGGGTGCGCGGCGGGCTGACCTCTGCGGAGGCGGCCGGGGCCCAGCATCGGGCCGGGGCCGGGGGGGCGCCGGGGCCGGGGGGCGGCGCTCCGGCCCGGCCCGGCCCCGCCCGATGTCCATGAGCGCGAACACCATGATCTTCATGATTCTGGGGGCGTCGATCGTGATGGTGAGCGGAGGGGCTTCCCGTGCGCCCGCGCCCGCCTCCCGCGCCCGCGCGCCGCCTCCCCCACCTCCCGCGCCTTGTTTACCGGCCCGCGCGGCCTGCGCTCCCCATCCCCGGGCCGCGCTCCCCACCCCCGGGCTGCCCCGCGCTCCCCATCCCCGGGCTGCCCCGCGCTCCCCATCCCCGGGCCGCGCTCCCCGTCTCCCGGCAGCGCCGAGCTCCCCATCCTTGGCCTGCGCTTCCCATCTCGACTGCCCTGAGCTCCCCGACTCTGGGGTTGCCCCGGGCACCCCTATCCCAGGGCTGCGCTCCCCCACCCCCAGCGCGCCGCCCCCCACACCCCACCCCACGCCCCGGGGCCCCGGCCAGGCCCGCTTCTCGGCGCTGACCGGTCATGGGCTCTTCCAGGCCATCGCGTGCTTGATGGACATGAACGCACTGCTGGACCGATTCCACAACTACATCCTCCCGCACCTGCGGGGCGAGGACCGCGTCTGCCACTGCAACTGTGGCCGGTGAGTCCGCGCCCGGTGGGGCACACGCGTGATCACACATGTGCGGCGGCGGGGCCCACTGGGGCGCAAGCAAGCCCCAGGCAGAGGCCTGGCTGCAGGACTGCGCTAGGCCCGTGGGGGAAGGACTGCCCAGCCTCCGCTGGGCACCTGGGGATTGGCCAATCGGGTTCCAGGAGGGGGAGCATGCCTGAGTAGTTAGGACCCCCTCCCAAAATGCCTTTAAGAGAAAGGGCCTGTGCCAGGGTGATGAGCAGACTGGGCCCCAGGCCTCCTGGTCCAGGGCCTGGAGGCCAGGAGAGCCACAGCCCAGCCCTGTGTGTCAGGAGGGATCCTGCGCACGGCTGTGCCCACAGAGTACACGGTCCTTCCTGGGCCCTGCACTAATGTTCATGAACTTTCCTGCAAGCCAGGTACAGGGAAGTGCAGAAGGTCAAGGTGGGCAGAGCCTACCTCCAGGGGCATCTGGTCCAGCCCTGTCATTGCACAGAGGAGGAACTGAGGCAAAGCTGGGTGTGGCTTGCTCAAGGTCATTCAGAGAGCCGTGGGAGAACCCAGGCCCCCTACATCCACTGTGTGAACGCCCCCATTCTGTGCACGTGTAGTGACGGAGTCTTCCTGGCCATGCATGTTTGTACGTCCATGTACAAAATAAACCTCTTCTCATGAGACGCGCATATGTGTACTGTCTGCGTATACATGTGCGTACACATGGCACACACATCCGCATGCACACCATCTCCGCAGGAAGCCCTCATGCTGGGGCCAAAGAGAAAGCAGAAAGACGCTTGGGTGGATAGAGACTTGCCCAAGGTCACGCAGCTAGTAAGGGACTGGGGGCCGAGCCCGGAAGCTGTGTTCCTCAACCCTGTCCTGTATTTCTGCCCCAGGGACACGTGTGCACACACTGTGGGTGGGGGTATGTGTAAGAGAGACAGGGCAGTTACGTGCCATGGGTACCGAGCAGCGTATGGAAGCAGAACCCAGACGTTAGGGAAGGTAGAGAGGGAGTGTAATGACCCTCGCATGTGCTGTCCCAAGAACCATCGAAAGAGTTTGCTGGGTGTGGGGGTGGGGGCGGGGGTGGTGGGGCACTCTTTCCCAGAGACTCCTGTGTTCGTTCCTGGTGCACACAGCCCCAACCTAAGGAAAGGCACAGGGTCAGCCCCATGGCCACCTGGGACAGCCATGACTATGGGCAGGTTAAACCGGGGTGGTCCCGAGACTCGCCCGGAGGCTGGCAGTGTGTCCCGTAAACATGAGAAATGCACAGTTTACATGTGTGTGGGCTGTTGTGTCATGACCAGCATGTATGTGCCTGTGACCTCACACGAAGGACCCATCTGGGCAGACAGGGGGTGCTTCCAGCGTGTGTTTGCCCAGGATGCGTGTATGCGTCATCTGTAGCATCCAGAGTCCATGTGGACTCAGCTAGGACGCTCGCGCACAGGGTACCGGCTGAAGCTAGTCCCGTGTGCGCAGGTTAGTGCGTCTGTGGACGCAGAAAACCCGGAGAGCTGCCCCTGCTGCAGATGTAGAGCTTCTGGGTGTGTGTGTCCACATCACTTCATAGAGGATACGTGGATTCAGTGTACAACGTATCCTTACACATCGACAACATACATGTGTATGCGCAGCACCCAGACAGCGAAGAGTGTGCTCCGCGTGGGCACAGCGAGTGTGTCTGCAGAGAACAGTGTTGCACATGCAGTATCCGTGTGTAAGCCATGTACACAAGTTGCCGCAAGCGGCTCTATCCATGTGTGCATACACCATGTGGAGCCTGCACATGTGTATGCCTCCGACATGCCTCTGTGGAGAATTCTGTGCAGAGGACACGTATGTAGATGAGTGCTCCTAAGTATACGTGCCAGCAGGCAGTGTCCATGTTACACCGGGGACAGCTGAGTGCATGTGCATCCGCATGTGACGCGCGCCGCGCTCGTGCCTGGGCAAGCATGCACATGCACACATGTGGAGCTCGTGGACCCGAGTCCATGGTATACACGCCACGTCTTGTGCATGTGGCCGGCGTGTATACACAACATGCATCGGACCTCAGGTAGGCACATGCAGCATGCGTGGCCCAGGCAAGACTCGTGTATGTACACATCATGAAAGTCCGTGTGCACATGTGAGACCTGAGCCCCTGCCCCCAGAGGCCTGACTGGGGGAAGGAGGAGCGTGAGGGGCAGCGAGGAGCTGCAGATGCCAGGCCAGGGATGGGGGCACAGGTTGTGACCTCTGACCCCCTGGAGGTCCTGAGCTGCCAGGGGTGGTTGGGCCCCTGGCCTCACCCTGCTTGCAGGGCACCAGGCACGTTTCTGGCTTCTTTGGCAGCCTGACCTTCAAGTTCCCTACCTTGACCAGCTGTGTGTCCAGGGGCAGGAAGCAGCAGTCCTGAGGAAGGCCCTGTCAGGGGTCCTCGGCCCAGAAGCCTGGGTAAAGCAGGAGGGGACAGTGATGCTCTGTGTCAGCAGCCCCTGTGTGGCCTGCCTGGCCTGGTGCACCCCAGGTGATGGGGACCTTGAACAGGTCATGAGTGGCGTCCGCTCCTGGGGAACCTGCAGCTGCTGCTCATTCTGGGTAGTGATTAATAGTTTTCCACCACTTACTGGTGACTGACAATAGCTACCGACCAACTGATCAGTAAGCATGGCTGCCACGTATCAGGCCGTCCTTGCTACTGACTCAGGGCTGGCTGGTGGCCTCCGAGCCATGGGGCTGTGGCCAAGGCCCCACCACTGGGACTGGTCACACTCTGGACATGCTGCGCAGGATGGCCTCCATAGTTCCCGGAAGGAACGGGAGGGGTGTGAGGCGAGGCCTGCCTGCTGCCATCCCTAATGGGCTCCTACTGGGAGGAGGACGCTGTGTGGACCCCGCTGGTGCAGGGACGTCGGTAGGGAAGGAACAGCAGGGAATCAGGGAGGAGTAGTGGGGTTTTCCGTATTTGAGACGGTCCCTGTGGGGGAGTGTGAAACATGGCCAGTTGCGAGGTTGGGGCGTGGGGGTAGGGACCTATCTCAGCTGAACACCAGGCGGAGGTGCCAGCATCTAACTGAGGGGAAGATGGGGAGAAGCAGGTTTGGGGAGGGAGGAGCTATTTTTAGGTATGAGTTTGAGGTGTCTGTAGATCCCACGTGGAGACGCCACACAGGCAGCTAGAGCTCAGAGCAGACGGGGAGGGTAGGGGGAGTGTGTGCGGCCAGGGACTTTGGGGTATTGGGGCTAGGGAATTGCAAAGACCAGCAAAGGGGCTCGGGGAGGAGGGGAACCATGAGAGCTGGCCCCCTGGGCAGGAGGGCTCCAGAGAAGCCCCTGCACTGCCAGGCAGGAGGATGACAGGGGCGAAGGGTGGACCCCACGGTCCCTCTCCGGGGCTCTCCTGCAGGCCGAAGCGGAGGTCGGGAGTGGGGACAGACCCAGAGTCTGTTGTCCTGGGTGCTGATCTCCTGAGTAGGGCCACCCCACCCAGGATCTCCAGGCCCAGGAGGGCTTGCTGGAGGAGGAGGGAATCCAGAAAGGCCTGAAACTGGAGGGAAGCATGTGGGGAGAGTTCAAAGTTCCTCAGAGGCAAGCCTGGACAGTGGGGGGAAGGGAGGCTGAGAAACACCACACAGGCCTTGGTGGGGGAGGCAACACATGGGAGTCCAGGGACCTCCGGGCAGCTGGAGCATCCTGGGAGCCGCAGCGCCGGCCACGGACATGCCCCTCTGTGGGGACGTGGGCAGGAGAGGGGGCACGAGATGGACACTGGACAGAGCCTGCTGGACCTCCAGCCCAGAGAACTGAGGAAGGGGAGGTGCCTGCAAAGGATGAAGGAGCAGAAGGAAGACCAGAGGCCCGGGGCAGGGCTGACCCACTTGGCATTTGGTAGCAGGGAGGAGGACGAGAAGGTGTGCGGGAGGGGAGGCTGTGAACCTGCGACTGGATGGGGACATCCCGCCCTGGGCCTTCGCCCTGGAAGCTTGTTCACCTGCACTGTTCCTGTGACCCGGCACGGTTGCCTCTGAGCCCCGGGGCGGAGGAGGGAGGAGGGTGATACGTGGGCAGGCTACACTCTGGCCGCTGACCGCGCACACTCCCCCCTCCGGGCAGCCTCTTGCCCGGTGAGCGGGCCCTTGGGCGAGTCAGCCGGCCCCTTCCCGACCTCAGCTCCGCACAAGGGCTGCTCTAAGACCAGCAGGGCGAATGGGTGCCGCTTACCGCCGGGGTCGCTGCCCGCCCCACGGGAGAGGTGCCAGCCCGCCCTGCCGCCCCCAGGCACCACATCCACTACGTGATCCCTTACGACGGGGACCAGTCGGTGGTGGACGCCTCCGAGAACTACTTCGTGACAGACAACGTCACCAAGCAGGAGATCGACCTCATGTTGGGGCTGCTGCTCGGCTTCTGCATCAGCTGGTTCCTGGTGTGGATGGACGGCGTCCTGCACTGCGCTGTGCGCGCCTGGAGGGCCGGCAGGCGCTACGGTGAGTGAGGGCGGCGGGGGACGCGCGGCCCGGCCCCTGCGTCCCACCCGCCCCGGGCCCCGCCCCGCCGGGCCCTCCCTGGCCACGCCCCCGGCGCCACGCCCCCACCAGAACAGGCCCCTCCGCGCCCTCCCGGGCCACCCCTCCCAGGCCACGCCCCCACCAGAGCTCCCCCTCGTTCCCTCCCAGGCCACGCCCTCATCGCCACGCCCCCGGGGTGCACGCCTCGCCCTCCCGCCCCACGACAACCCTTTAGGTCACGCCCCCAGCGGATCACGTTCCCGCCGTGGCCACGCCCCACTAATGCCACGCCCATCACTTCTCACCACGCCCCCTCCCACGCCGTGCCTCCGCTCGACCACGCCTCCAACACCGACCCGCCCACGCCTCCGCCCCGACCTCGTCCTGACCGCGCTCCCGCCCCGCAGACGGCTCGTGGACCTGGCTGCCCAAGCTTTGCAGCCTGCGGGAGCTGGGCCGGCGGCCGCACAGACCCTTCGAGGAGGCGGCCGGCAACATGGTGCACGTGAAGCAGAAACTCTACCACAACGGCCACCCGAGCCCGCGGCACCTCTGAGCCGCGCGCAAGACTCGCGGGGCCTTCGGCCAACGCGCCCACGCACACGGGACTGGACGGCCGCCCCGGGCCAGGGCGCCCGCGGCCGCCGGGCGTGTCCAGCGGAAGGTGCTGTCTCCTCTTCTTTTTATAAAGGGGGTTGGGGCGGGGCAGGCCGCCGGCCTGGGGGGAGGACCCCGGCCTCCCGGGCCGGACAGGGCGCGGGGATCAGGGCGGCGGGCCCTGAGCGAGGGCGGGCGGGGGGCATGGGCACCTGTGCCGGCGGCCGGGACCACCTGCTTGCCCCCGCGCACTGCTGAGACCATGTCTGTTACTGAAACCCGGCTATTTCCTGTGCGCCCGGCTGCTTCTCGGGACCAGTTCTGGCGGAGGGAAGCAAGGCCGGGAGAGGGTCTTGGCAGGGAAGGGTCCGGCCCCCGGCCGCGCCCACGTCTGCACACGGGAGCATGTGCATGGGGCGTGTGCGTCCGCGGGCCGCAAAGGGGGTGGGGGGCGGGGGGCAGGGGTCTGGTGGAGGCCCCGGCCTAGCAGCAATAAGGCCCCCAAGCCCCACTGCGGCAAGTGCGGCCACCCCGCCCAGGGCATCCCCGGTCGGGTGCCTCACTGTGACCCCCCACCCCTGCTGGTCAGTAAATTCTCCAGAAAGCTCCCGTCTCTGCCTCTTCTTTCATCTCTGAACCTGTGACCCCTTCAAGCCCCTGCCCCTTGAATCAGCCATGAGATACACACATTGTGAGGTATCCTTTCAAGTTTTTATTGGATTCTGGATAAAAAGACCCCCACTCCAATGGATGGAAGGCCACAGACCCTGTGGGTTAGGACAGCACCCCCAGCACTGGACACTCCTGGCCAGCGGGCCCCTGGCCCTTCAGGCACCACCACCAGTCCTTGGCAGCTAGTTCTCACCCTCTGGGTGTATCACAGCCAGACGTATGCAGGGCATCTCCCTCTTCCTAGTTCCGGGGGGCGGGGGGGAGGGGAAGCAGCTCCCACCCAGCAGCACAGGGGCCTGCTCTGCTCAGCCCTCACTTGCTGGGTGAGACTGGGCAAGGTCAGGCCCCTACCCATGGCCAGCCCCCCTCTGGACACAGATACAGCAGCGGGCCACAAGAGCTTAGCCAGCACCTGAGAACCCGCAGTACCAGCTGGACCACTGTCCCTGCACATGGGGACAAGTGCTTCTCCCCAGCACTGGGCCTGGCTTAGAGACTCACATCTCCCAGTAGTGTCCTGGGGGTCAGGTGATGGCCCCAGTCTGGACCACCCAGCAAGCACCACAGCCTGAAGGGAAAAGCCTGGCCTACAGAGGAGCCAACCCTACCACAAAGACACTACAACTGCAGTTGGTCCCAAGCAGAGGCCTTTAATGCTGTCCTGGCCCTGACTGAGGAATATTTAAAAATGCTGAGGTGGGCAGCTGTGTAGGCCCATCACTGGGGGAAGTGGGCATCTTGGTGCTTCCTCCTGGCAGGGCCACCTGGCCAATGTGCCCCCTGGGTATCCAGGCCCAGCTCACTCAGCCTGTGTACTTGGGAGCCGGGGCTGGTTACCCTCAGGCCTGGGTCCCTCAGCCTTCAGCCACTGCATCTTCTGCTGGTGCTGCTGGATGGCATCCTGGACCCGGGCATCCATCATGGCCTCAGTGAGGACCCCATCCTCGGAGGCATATGCCATGGCCTGGCAGGGAAAGAGAACACTGATGCAGGCCACGCAGAGGGGCTACCTGCAGGGGAAAAGGGTCTCCCAGCCCCAGGCTTTCAGCCCCTGGGCCCCACAAGTCACCAGGAACCACCCACCTGCAGGACAGGGCCAGACCCAGGGATAAGCCAGCCTAGCGGGCACCACCCATGAGCTCGCCTCTTGGAGATGCCCTCCAGAACCTGAAGGGGTGGCGGCGAAGACTGCGATGTTGAGTCCACTAAGAGGATTGCTGGCCCGTACCCTCTACCACAGGCCTGTGCTCAGTCTCGGGGGGGCGTGGCCTCCCAGCAAAACACACACATGCCAACATGCCAGCAGAACATGCTCTGCTCCCCTGTGTGTGCAGGAGTGTCCACACATGCATGCGTGCTTACAAGGGAATCCACAGCCCATGGCAGCCACCGTCCCTGCAATGCCCATGGCCCTGCCCACATCCCCAGTTGGCACGAGTGCCATGTTCTCGCATCACTGAGTTTCTCAATGACTTTCTAAAAATAGAAAGTCTGAGACCAGCTGTCAGGAAGCAGCTCAGCACCCCCAACGCAGACCTGGAAGGCCCCTAATTCACAGAGAGCAAAACTACCCTCAGGGCCAGGGCACAGATAACAGAAGCACCACAGGCTGGGGGTGGGGGGGCAGGTCCATGACACTGAGGGGAGAGCAGGACCCCCCTAGGAAGAGCGCTCCCTCGGAGCCCCCAGCAATTCTAACTTGGTCAGAAAGTAACCCATTAGGCCCAACTGCCCCTGAACGCTCAGCACCCAAAGCCGCTGGAAGTTCCCTGGTAGGAAGGTAGAGGGAGTGCAGGATCCCCTTTCAGAAACCCACAGCATTTGAGCAGACATGTCTGCCCAAGGGGGCCAGGATCCCTACTGCGGGATGGCTGGACTTAGCAATGGGCTTCCAAAGAAATGAGGAAAGGGGAAACCAGTAACTTTACCATGGAGAAACCTGGCGGGCACCACCTTAACCAGGTCAACATCCCTGTGATGTACGGACGTCACGTGTCCCCTGTCAGGGCGTGACCAGAAGGGCACCTCATCTCTGGGGTCTTCTCCCAAAACCCACAATCTCAGTCTAACTGTGAGAAAAACATCAGAAGGACAATCTCTGTAACACCTGACCAGCACTCCTCAAAACTGCCAGGATCATCAAAAACAAGAGACATGTGAAAACTGTCACAGCCCAGAGGAGCCCAAGCAGACATGGCAACTGAACGAGATGGGGGACTTTGGAAGGAGTCCTGGAAAACATCAGGTCCGAGGTGGAATCCACAGTGACATGGCAAATGTGCCCAGTGAGAGGAGTCACACCATGGTGGGGGAAGCTCCATGCTATCCTTGCAACTTTCCTGTGAGCGTGCAGTTACTGAAACATAGGAAACTTCATTAAAAAAAAAAGAAAAAAAAGGCAAGCCCTGGACTCAAGGATGATGCTTACAGGAAAATTAATCAACATGATGCACCATGTTAATAGAATGAAAGACAAAACCACACGATCATCTCAACTGATGCAGAAAATGGCAGTTGCAAAATTCAACACCCTTTCTTGGTGAAACACTCAATAAACTAGGGATGGAGGAAAATGTCCTTAACGTTCTAAAGGTCATTTATGAACAACCCACAGCAAATATATTATCAATGGTGAAAGACAAAGAGCTTTTCCTCGGAGGTAAGGAAGAAGTCAGGGATGCCCACTCTCACCAATACTATTCAACACAGTAGTGGAAGTCCTAACCAGAGCAATTAGGCAAGAAAAAGAAATAAAAGGGATTCAAATTGGCAGGGAAGAAGTAAAATTATCTGTTTGAAGATGATATATTCTTTTTTTTTTTTAAAGATTTTATTTATTTATTTGACAGAGAGACAGCGAGAGAGGGAACACAAGCAGGGCGAGCGGGAGATGGAGAAGCAGACTCCCCGCCGAGCAGGGAGCCCGATGTGGGGCTTGATCCCAGGACCCTGGGACCATGACCTGAGCCAAGGCAGTCGCTTAACTGACTGAGCCACCCAGGCGCCCCAGAGATGATATATATTCTTATATGTAGTAAACCCTAAAAATTCCCCTCAAAAGTTAGAACTAATAAACTAAGGGTACCTGGGTCGTTCAGTTAGTTAAGTGTCTGACTCTTGATCTCAGGGTTGTGAGTAAAAAAATAAAGCTAATAAGCAAATTCAGCCAATTTACAGGATACAAAATTAACACACACAAATCATTTGTGTTTGGGGCGCCTGGGTGGCTCAGTCAGTTAAGCGTCTGCCTTCGGCTCAGGTCATGATCCCAGGTCCTGGGATGGAGCCCCGCATCCGGCTCCCTGCTGGGCGGGGAGCCTGCCTCTCCTCCGCCTCTGCTGCTCCCTGTGCTTGTGTGCACGCATGCTCTCGCTCTCTCGTCCTCTAATAAATAAGATCTTAAAAACAAAAACCATTTGTGTTTCTATATGGTAATAATGAACCATCTGGAAAGGAAATTAAGAAATTAAGAAAATTCCATTTATAATAGCATCAGAAAAAAAAATACTTAGGAATTAACTTAACCAAGGCCAAAAAGTTCTACACTAAGAACTACAGAATACTGCTGAAAGGAATTAAAGATCTCAAATTTAGAAAGATATCCACGTTCATTGGAAGACTTCAACTTGTTATGATGTCAATACCATCCAGAGCGATCTACACATTCACTGCAATCCCTATCAAAAATCCCAATGATGTTTTTTGCAAAAATAAAAAAAAAATCCATCCTAAAATTCATATAGAATCTCAAGGGAGGCCAAAGAGCCAAAACAGTCTTGGGTAAGAAGATTTTCAGGTCTCACATTTCCTGAGTTTAAAATCTACTGCAAAGCTACAGTAACAAAATCAATGTACTGGCGTAAGGGCAGTTATACGGACCGATGGGGTAGAAGAGAGAGCCTAGAAACCCTCACATGTGTGGTCGGATGGCTTCCAACAAGGGTGCCAAGACCATTCAATGGGGAGAGGACAGTCTTTTCAAGCAATGCTGTTGGGAACACTGGATATCCACATGCAAAAAAGAATGAAGGTGGACCCCTACCCCATACCACACACAAAACTTAACTAAAAATGAATCACACCGGGGCGCCTGGGTGGCTCAGTCAGTTAAGCAACTGCCTTCAGCTCAGGTCATGATCTCAGGGTCCTGGGATTGAGCCCCGCATCGGGCTCCCTGCTCAGTGGGGAGTCTGCTTTTCCCTCTCCCTCTGCCCCGCCCCCCACACGCTGCCACTCGTGCTCTCTTTCTCTTGCTCTTGCTCACTCTCAAATAAAATTTAAGGAAAA